CCAGATTATGAACTCATCTACTATATATCAACCGATTCGAAGCTATTTTCCAGTTTGAGTTTAAATATGAGCTTCTGAATGGAGTTCACTAACTGCCTAAGTCATTCCGCTCTGCTAGGTTTAGAAAAACCACGTCTCATTTCAATTAACCTGAAAGAACAAACGCCCTCAATGCAGTCCGGGTGGAAAAAACGTTTCACGAAGAAAGTGATCTATTCCTTTGAGAAAAGTATTCCAAATGGGTTCACCATTGAATTGGTATCAAATCGAGTATACTACTTTAACACTATTTCTGATTTGAAGTAGATTTCGTCTCACGTGTATAATCCAAGCCACTGGCCCCAAAGAATGGTGACTAAGTCTGTGACAAACTATGGATAATCGATCCTTTCCGACCGATTCTCGTGCTTCATTTGCTCCCCATTCCCTTGTGCTCGCATTACAGCAACGCCACTGGAACAAAATTGTGTTTCCTTCACATTAAATCAAACAGTGTAGATTTAGTGGAATTGGGGATTGGATTCACACACACGTACACAGCAGAAGAACGGAGAAATAATTCCAGAAACCAGCTGTTTGGCGAATTCGGAAATTTAGTTAGCACGAGATCAGCTCAATGAGTGTTACGTAATCATGGCCAAAAAGGAATCAAAATCACAAATATTTTATCACAAATAGCAGTCATGCATTAGCAGCACACCATAGGGTCGATTGCAATAAAATTATCGGCTTTTTATTTGATCATAAAGTGTTGGGGTACTATGACAATTGTAATCAGGTGATGCAAATCCAGAGAAAGAATTCTATCTCAAATTTGCCCCATTAAGGTAACGTGTCAGTATATTCGGATAGAATAGTCCTTACTTCTGTCGCAAGCACCAGATCAGAGCTAGAACAAAAGCAATCCGGCATTATGTCATGCACTTCCATGATTGTGTGTCCAACTTGTTGTCGGGAAGCAAAACGCTTCACATTTCTCAAAAGCCGTCTCCTGCCAACCATCTAATCAAATTGCGATGACATATTATTCGGGACTCTGTACCCACAGGATGTCTATTTGATTGTATCTAGTGTAACCGCCATTTCAACCTGAAACGGTTGGCTTCGGTGACCGGTAAATGAAGGAGAAAAAGTGAACTTGTGAACTATTTCAAAATGCACTCCAAACGTTTTGCACATCTTTGAGCGAACTGCCCTTGGTCTGAGGTATAACGTTTTCCATTTTTACACTGATACTCCCAAACTCATGTGACATTTTTGTTGTAAAGAAAATTGTAAAATGAAATAGGAGGACATCGATTACACAATTTATTATTCCCCTAAAATCCGGTGATTTGTTTGAGGACATTGTCGTTTGATACACTAAGCAAGTTACCGACTAGAGCCTCATCGTGCTGTCTGTCACAAAACACACATCAAAAGGGGACAAATGATGTGGAGACACGGGCTCAGTTTGACAGAATGGGCGCTAAATATTAAACAATGACGATACTACAAACTGGATCAAAACAAATCTTTTCAATTCAGGACATCAATAAAAACTTTAAACACCTGATGATGCATTCCCAAAATGAATTTTTATCATAAACCTTAGGACAGTAAGGACCAACGGCAAAAGCTTCATTGCAGAACCCAACAACGGCTCAAAGCCTCGGATAATTACGATTTACGATGATGAAACATAGATACTCTACCCCATTCTCAACAACTAGAATGCTCTAATAAATAAACCCCTTATTCAGCATAAAGAAACGCTTACTATGCTGCAAATTATGACGCGGGAAACGTCAAATTTCATGAATAGAGAAAATCACCCAACCTTAACGTTTATTATTTTATAGGAAAAAGTAAGCTTTATTTATTGTTCATTTGGTGATCAATCAGTATTATATAGTAACATTTTTCTACCATTTACCGCCAGAACAAGAAGATAAAAATGTGAGACTGGAAGGTTTTAGTATTACTGCAATTTGTTCATATTACTTCGAAAGTCATTTTGGTCACCAACTGGTGGCCTGGGTGTCCCGGGTTCAAACCGCTCTACCGCCACCCGTGTTCCCTATATCTGTATTTTCCCCGGGCAGCCTTTGTATGACCTCAGCCTCCCCCCCTTCCTGAAAGTTGACTGTATATCTGTATATTAAAAAAATAGAAAAAGGAAGTAAAAATCATTTATTTAAAAAAAGACAATTTCATCTGTGTCATCCATAGAAGGAAATCATCCCAACATACGAATTCCTCGCCTGTGTCTCCAAAACGTATCCGCGCAAATGTCACCGGGGAAACAAGCTAAAAACAATGATCAGTAAAAGCACAACTAGCTGTGCTTCAGAAATCTTGAACAAGAACTGTTGATTGAAAGAACTCATATTGTATCCCAATGTTGGATGGAGGCTGGATTCATTAACGAGTAGCGAAGACATACTCATGTGAGCACGTGTTTTGCTGAATTCTGTGTGAATTTCTGTTCTGAGCACCGGAAACGAAACTCCCAACCCCTTTCATTTTCTAACATGTGATAAAAGTGGGCTCCCTGGTTTGATTAGCAGTTTGACAAAGCACTGATAATCCGATTAGATTAATTAAATCGTGTTAATTGCACGCAGAAGAAAGCGTGACAAACGCGGGAGATGAGCATTGTAATAACGAAAACATAATCGCGCAACAAGTCGATAATTTTACTCGTGGGATCACACCCCGTACGACAGACTTGATTCTTGTGGTCGCGGAAGATAAGCAAACTCTCCTCTGTTGAAGCACGAGATTTCTGTAGTTCAACAAAACTCGCCAGTAGATGGTAGCACCAAAGGGAGAAAATATTTCATTTTACATCCGTGTATAACAGCTCACATGCGTTTCTCATGGCGCGTGAGCAAGCATGTCGTCCCACTTGAATAAAAGCGCATTATAGAATACCAGCGGCTATTTGAAAGCAAAACAAAAAGGCAAGATTATTGCGTGATTTCATTAGGTCCAAATACAATAAATTGCATTCAACTGAGATGGAAATGCTTGTGATGAAAGATAGGGAGCACTTGGCAGCCATTTCCTCTTGTTCGGGACTCGTCAGCAGTGCGTACTTTTTGTGCCCCCGTCAGGCCTCGAACCGCGAACTTTCGCATCGGGACTTCGAGCCCTTACCTCTGAGCTACACGGTCGACGGTCATCACTTTGTGCGAATGGCTCAAGCAATTTTAGAGTAGCAAGCTTGAATTAGTCGATTCAATTGTTAGGAGGTACCCAAGGAATAACACCCACACCCATCAAGAGTGCCTGGTGCCTCTGAACAATCGAATGGGCTAATCCAAGCTTGATACTCTTAATAAAATAAACTGTATTTGGGGGTTGACTTGTGTTTAAAGACACGGATGACGGTCAACGGAATAGAACATAATTGCAGCAACTTCCGAACTTCAAACAAAATATCTTTTTCAGAAATAATAATAATAAAACGTTTAAAGAACAGATGAACAAGATCGATAGCAGAGTGAGAACATGAACATGACTGCGCAAACGCTTGTCCCTGTGTGTCTTTGAGATCGCGCGTGTTAAAGAAACCGGTTGTACGATGCATTCATGTGATCCATTTATGGTTCTTGCACATCAATAATTTTCCCTCAAAGGNAAAGGAATGGAGAATCCGCGTGAATAGGAAAAACACACGTTACACTGAAAATGCGTCAACTGGATGATCAGCGGTCTGGAGCTGTTTGGCGACCGTTCAGCCGTAAATGCACCAAGTGCAATTTGCGTTTATTACTGCGTACGAATAAAATCAGTTATTCCACATACACACGCACACACACACATATATATGTATATATATATATATATATACCTTAGACAACATTCGTCCAACTTATGAGTGAATATTATACGACCCAATAACATTCTACCCCAAATCATTACATCCATTGCCCCGGATGTGTTCTTGCTATCGATGCTACCACATATATTGATGGATACCATCTTTCTCATTCAACCGCGCAATGGGGAGTTGACCCACAAAAAAGATGAAGATATATGTGAAAAAGTGAACTAAAGTAAATGAATATGGTGCGATTTTCAAGTGGGAATATTCTCAGCTCACTTAAGATGCGCAACTCATGTTCATAGGATTATTCATTAAGGAATCATAAAAGTTTTCAAATGCTAATAAAACATTTATTAAGTCATAGGTATTTCTCAAAAGTTTTGTGTATTCCATGGTTTATGCTTATAAACAGTTCATAATTCTCCCTCTAGATCCAGTGGTTTAGTTTTCGAGTATTTTCGATGGACTGATACGGAACGAATTTCACTTAAGATTAAACATGGTATCCATTTGTTGTTATGGACGAAGAAGCAGTAAACCTCTCCTAGCAAACATAATATAGTGACAATTATCTTTTTCTTTCTAAATTTCTTTTCAATCCTTAAAGAGGAGGGAATCAATCGCAAGTTATTGTTCTTTTCAACGCTATTTTCAAAAGAACTCGTAACTGATATTCCTCGGGCAATGAGATCGGTGATTGGTCGAAATTCTGAGCATTTCATTGGTTACCCACTTACGCTGTTCAAGGTCAATTTACGGTGCAGAGAGTTTATATTCAGTGACTTCTGCAAAACGAAAAGACTGACATGTTGCACTGATCATGGTAACCAAAAAAGCGTTTCGTTCATAATGCTAACATTGTTTGGCTTTATCGTCAATCGGTTTCCCATTCGGTAAGAACAGAATGTTAGCGGCATCCGAGTGTCCAGTACACTCGTCCTCCGACTCCATTAAAGAGCACAGCAACCAAGTGCCTGAACTGGACAAGGATCAGTCAAAATCGACAACAATGTTATCCGTGCCTCAGATTACTTCAGGGGAACAGAGTGACACCGCCAGTGATGGCAACCTTTCAAATCAGGATTCCAGTTCACAAACTCAGGGAAGCGGGATACTTGTATCCATCAGAAAACGCATGCGCCGATTTTTGGGGGCATCTGTAGAAAGTGCAATACTTCACAAAAGTATGCAGGATCTTTCAATAACTTCATCCGTAAAAGATGCAGGGAAATTCGGAACAACTACTGCTGACCACATTCGGGGAAGTCGAGTGGCGAAGAAAACTGGCGGATATTCGCGGAGTGCCAATTCCGAGGCATCCGCGGATTTTCCATCCATCAAGAAGGACTATGAGGACTCCCTGATTGCACTGACCTCGCTCACAGACGAGGAAATCCAATCGGTTCGCGACAGTTGGCTTATTCTTAAAGCCCATATCGAAAAAATTGGAGTAATTGTCTTTCTGGGGTAAGTGAATTAAACGACTGTCCACCATTACGATTTGTATAGCAACGATTGTTTGTTCCATTCTTAAAAAACGCTGTTCAGCGTTTTATCACTGAAACCCAGAGATTCCGCCATTGGTTGCACTAGAAAAATTCAACAGCTATTAGCTATATGAGCGCCGTATTGCTCGAACTTGATCCTACTGAAGCAACTCGTTAAATGGACGTTACAAACTGCTCACGTTGTGGATGAGACATTTATTCTCTGAGCTTATATAATGCTGTACTATTTGCCATGCAAATCAGACCGACTATTGATAACTTTTATTCTGACGCGAATTAATTATGGAGTCTCGACTTCCAATAGTGCACAAGAACATTGAAATAATCTTATATAAAGGATTTGGCGATCGAGTAGCTTACGAAAGCTCTCACAAATTCATCCATTTATTCAGGAGTCGAACGAAAACAACTGGGGCATTTGCATGCGATATAAATGCTTGTGATAACTGCCAAAGAGCACTGGACAGCATGAGATTTTGGGAAGTTACCGATCGCTCAAGAAGTGAAACCCACTTCCAAGAACATCAAGAGTGCATAGTGCCTCTTAACAAACGAATGGGCTAATCCAAGCTTGCTACTCTAAAACCGAGGAATTATTTCAAATGATCCATAAAAGTCGTTGCACTCTCAAAGCAAAACACGGAATTAAGTATCATTTACTTTGAGAAATTTAGATATTGAACGAGCTGATAACCACCAATAGAGAGGTGTTCATTCCTAAATTAAAAAAACTAATTGAGAAGCCTAATTTGAAGAGTGCAAGCACAAATAAATCAGATACATTTTTATGAAACACATGAGGAATTACAAATAATCCATCTTCCCGATAATTGTTTGGGACTTATACATTTTCCATGTAATTTTGTGATAAATGGGATAGAAACAATCGATCACTGCCCCAATACGATCCGCTTTTCGTTATTCAACGTCAGTATTTTTGAGAATTTCCTCTGGGCGGGCTAATGAAATTTCACTGCAAAACGGGGATGGACATAACATGTGTGACCAGGCCACAACTGAGCGATAAACGTTTTCTTAGTACAGCCTGCAATTCGCCTGGCCTAATTTGAAAGAGAAACAAAATAGATTACTTTTTTGGTTATCACATGTGAGATTTTAATAATGATATCTCAATATTTCCCGTAACAAGCTTTATGTGACTGGGAATTGGGTTCTAACACTGGGTAGGTCTGGCATGAGAAAGATCACGCTGAACGATGAGCAAAGGCCATTGCACCGACTAAAACGGAAATAAATTTGGGTGACCGCCCGGTTGTGCGTGCTCACATTTGCCAAGTCTTAGTTTGAAGTCCTTCAACCCTGAAGCCGACCAGAGGATGTTAAGAGAAGAAAATTAATTTGTTTAATGTCAAACGCAATTTGCGATGCATCTGGTCATGACCAGCCCCAAAGATATACAGTAATGTCAAATTCACAGATATATATATATAGTTAAAGTGATAATTTTTTCCTAAATTCCTTATTCGTTGTACGATCGACGAACCTTTTAGCCATCTAAAGTGTATCCTTTTTACTACTACGTCAAATTTGAGCAATCAGACTCACAGATACCCACATCGATAAACACTTCTGCTGGAAATTAGTCATTTATTTCCCTCCCAAAGCTCTCTGTATCAGATTATGAGATTTCTCTGGGAAACCACCACAAACTTCAAGGTGACTTTAAGGTTACACCAATTTTACATGTCTCGTTCCAACAATCATATTCAGTGATCATAAAGTTTTATGTGTTTATTACTAGTTTTTCTGCATTATCACAAAACTTAGTGTTAGTTAAGAATTATTTAAATCTGCTAGACGTTGAACAAGAGATTGATGAGAAACATTGATCTTTTATCATCTTTTCATTTTACGTCCTCCTATTGAATGTACAAAGATATGATTTTCAGCAAGGGAAAGCGGCCAACGAAAGGGCTGTCATATAACACACGATTGAGGAAGTTAGGTTGTGGTGGCGATAGTTTGGTGACGTCACTAGCACCGCCCGGCAATTGTCAATGAACTCTTATGTTCAGAACAATCGGATATTGAGTCTCATCTTCATCCATCACACTGTTATTTAAATGAAATATCGGAGGGAAAAAATTTTCCGTGTTTCAGCCAATCATTCCGTATAAGTTTGCTGCTATTTGTTTAGATTTGCAATGCACCCCATTAAGATCGAGCCTTAGTATTGCAACGTTTGATTCTAGAGTTCAGCTGATGATTTCCAGACGCATTCTGTTGGTTTTGGGAGAAGATAAACAGTACACCGGGTACGGGAACCAGGAGGTGCTAGATCCTTGATCAAACAGTACTGGCTGTTTGATTAGCCGCACCAGTAGTAGACGTATATAAGAGGGAAATTCTGTGACAATGCCATCATCATTTGGATGATATTTTGATCATAAGACAAAACAGTTCCCTCGATGTGATTGAGCATCATCGAAAAGGAATGATCTGTAGTTCGTGATAAATATGGCCGCGTAGCAAACACAGAACGATTTTGTTGAACTTGTTGGTTATCAGTTGCAATGAGAATTTATGGATTGAGTTCAGGATCTCGTCGATGACACGCAAAAAGGTGCTATACAGTCAGGCAGTTTATGCATATTTTACTTGGACAATGTATATAATTCTCCCACTGTAATGGAAAGTAAGGCAACGTTTTTAAGCAGGCTCTTGTGGCCTAATCCCGGGTAGAATTTCCAACGAAGTGACGCTAATTGTTTTGATTTCTTCACCGATTCACCGGTCATGTTATGTTTGCAGAAAAAGAACGGTAATATAAAACGCGCAAGTTTATTCGGCAATCTCGACCAACAAAGCATATGATGTGTTATCTGATTAGCCCGAATGTGATGCGCGGTGACGAGTCGGAGACGAATGAAGTCAAATAAGAATCGTATGTTCATTATGTTTTCAGCTCATATATCACAACGCACTGTGTACAACACTATGAGATTGGCCGAGCGGATATCGAGAGGAGTTTGAGACGAATGCACCGTTAATAAAAACCCCGGGGTTGAAAAGGTCGGTAGTTCGATTGAACTGGTCTTTGTCACACTGTCACGTTCCTGACAAAACAGAACTGTTGTACAGGATACCAGGGTTCATCCACGAATCACGCAACTTTCTATCCATTTCTAACTATATCTTTATATAAATAGTCAAAAAGTCGGCAAGAAATTGGACAGAATGCTCCTTAGCTAAATAGTAATAATACTACAAAACAAGCTAAAAATTGTATTCGTTTGTGAATGACGCAACAATAATAAATTAAGCTATGGTTTATAATTTTTCCTCGTTTTTTGCGTTCCGTGTCACCTGTGGACGTCCACCGGGTCACACTTTTGCCAAAAGGGAATAAAAACGTTATGTAAACTGTCAGTTTAACGTGGTCTCACCTTTAATTTTTTTCTGAAAGAAATAGTTTTTGAAATCGAGTCACCTTCACAACAATATCGAATATAATTCCAGATCTGGAAGGGGATTTTTTTCTGGTTAGATTGAAAACCTATGTAGGAAAATATTCACATCCCCGAAGCGCATTATAACTACATTTGTTGCCTCGGAATGTTTGGGAACAGTAAAAGTTCTACCTGATTTCTCAACTCTTAAAAGTCGCACGTCACGCTGTGTACATTTTAAGTAAGCTAAAAGCTCTCATTGGTGTGCATTGCTTTTCTTAATCAGCTTTAATTCGGCTTTTGTGTTTCCAACAGATAGTGAATAGTTTGTTCACGGATTTTCAGAACTGTGTGATATCTTAAATGGAGGATATATTTTCCTGTTGTTCATCTGATTTCAACTGTTTGTTAACGTATTACCAATTTTTAGTCGTGATATCAGACTTAAGATGAATACATTAGGTTTTTGATAAAAGAGTTGCATTGTTTGAGAAGCAAGAACTTTTGTACTAAGGACTTTTATCATTTTAGATGCGTACACAGGTATGTATCGCAGCAAATATCCCACTTATTCACAATTCAGTATAATAGTTCACAGAAGATTTGCTAGCTAGTAACTCACCAGTTTAGTAATTTGTAAGTTCTATTTGTATCTTCTTGTAGGATTGTTGTTCTTGAAAGATTACTGCCACGCACATCCATCGTCAGAGTCGACAGACCGGCGACATCGGTTTACTCAAAATCAAGAAGTTCATATATTTACTTCGAATAAGCATCGTTCGCATAATGAATCTGTTGTGCTTCAATCGCAGTTGCATATGTTTCAGAGTGTACGAAACCTGTTCAAAACCTGTATTTTAATATCACTAATGGACTTGAGGTGATGATGTGACCTACTTTACTGATTTGGCGAGTTTAACGAATTTGATCAAACGTGTGATTTTTTTGAGAAAACGCAGAATAGTGGATGTACACAAACTCTCAGGGTACGTGGAAACCAAGCTGCGGAAATTAATTATTAGCTTGTCTGTTTGGGATTGGGGAAAACCGATGCAAATAATAGTGATAATAATTGTGGGAGGAAATTTCCCGCTCCCACAGACAAGTTTCTTGACTTGAATAGTTTTTATTCAACAAGAACTGATGATCAGATCTATTCGATTGTTAGCTTCCACTATCCTAGTGTTTGCTTAGTTCACTGTATTGCGTTCCATCATTCTTACCTTTTATCTGCGTGAAATGTTGACAGAACCCGGTACACTTCTCCTAGAGACATTAATTATAATCAGAAGAAGCGTAGACAATATTTGGTCCCTATTTCATTGTGAATAGACTCTGATAGTTGATTTTCAGGACGGTGGTGGTCAAGTGATTAGGTCACGAAACTTTGACCTAGGGGTCCGGGGTTCGAACCGCTCGACCGCCGCCTGTCTTCCCTATATCTGTATTTTCCAGACAGCCTTTGTATGGACCCGGCCCCCTTCCAGAATATTGGTCGTACATCGATATATTAAAAAATAAAAAGAAAGTAAAAATACATTATTATTCC